TAAAGGGGAGCATTCCCAGATTATAACCTGTTACATAGGAATGAAATAAACTAGTAGGAAAGCAGTTACACACACGTGCATAAAATCCTTTTTGTTAAGGAAAATGTAATCAAGCTGGACGCACATAGTCCCTGTGTATTGCTTCCTTTGCCCCCTGTGTCCGTGGCTCTTAACCATTCAGGACTCAGTGCTGTATCACCAGAGAGCGGTTTCTTGGTCCTCTTAGTCAGCTCTGCTTTCTCTGTGTATCAGTTCTTCCTATCTGGCCAGGAACTCATTTGGGCTTACCCACTCCACTGTACTTGATCCCTAACAGGCCAGGTACATAGTAAGTGCTTAAAGAAAAGCAGCTAGCATTTGAAGGTGTCCTATCCACTGAGCACTGCTCTGAATACTTCACATGTATTCAGGGAATCCTCACAACACCCTTATGTGACATACACTGCTGTTTTACACGTAAGGAAACTGAATCTTAGATAGGCTAAGAAACTTCTTCAAGCCAACAAAATTAGTGACAGCCAGACCTGAAATCCAATTGTGCCTTGCTCTTTTTGTTCTATTTTTTGAGACGACCTTGTGTGGCTCTGGTTGGCCTCAAACTTGAGGTAGTCCTGCCTTAGCCTTCCAAGTGCTGGGGTTACAGGTATGCGCTGCAGCGTCCAGTTTAGAAGAATCTGTGCCAAAGATTTTCCCTTTAAGGAACTAAATTAAATGACACTATTTTGTGCAATCCGAAAGTCATTTCACCACTGGGGTGGGGGAGGGGGCTGGTGGGTTTACAGCAGCTCTGGAGATGATGAGAACACTGAGACAGGCCTCAAACCTGATTACAGAAGATGGAATTTTATAAAAATTGGAGCCCAGGGTTGGGGAATGTTGCTTAGTGGGTACAGCTACTGCTCAGCATCTTTGACCCCTGGGTCCAACCTTGAACACTGTGTAGGGTAAATGAAGAACTAAAGAACTGCTCACTCGGTTTTAACAAGATAGGGAAAATAGGGAGGATTGCTAATGGGCAGTTTTCCTGCCAGGTTTTCTCCCAGCATTCCGGAGGCAGAGGTAGGTGGACCTATGGGTTCAAAGCCAGCCTGGTCTAGTGACACCTTAAAAAAAACCCCAAAACAAAACAGTTCTAATTTTGTGTGTGTGCATGTGGTTGTAGTTTCGTATGTGTGCAGGTTTCATATGTGTGCAGGTATATGAGTGTGTTTTTGCTCATACATACAGAGCCCAGAGGTCAACTGTGGGTGCTGTTCCTCAGCACCTTGTTACTCAGGCATGATTCACTTTGTTTTTTTGAGACAGTGTGCTGGATAGCGTTAGTGTCAACCTGACACACCTGGGTCGAGGGACCCTCAATTGGAGAATTGCCTCTATTGCACTGGCCTGTGGCCATCTCTGAGGGGCATCTTCTTGATGAGTGATGTGGGAGGGCCCAGCCCACTGTGGGTGGTGCCACCCCTGGGCAGGTGGGCCTGTGCTGAGCAGGGGCCAAGGGAACAAGCCAGTAAACAGTGTTCCTCCATGGCCTGTGATTCAGCTCCTGCCTCCAGGTTCCTGCCCTCCGTTCCTACCTTGGGCTCCCGGATATCTGTGACCTGGGCTGTGTAAGCTCAATAAACCCTTTTCTCCCCAAGTTGGTAGTGGTCAGAGTATTTTGACACAGTGATAGAGAAACAAAACAGATGGTCTCTCACTGACCAGCACTGTGCTACCATGCCCAGGTTGGTTTTTTTTTTTTAACTTAGGTTCTGGGGCTTTCTTGAACTCTGGACATGAGATTTACACACAAGCACTTTACCAATTGAGCAATTCCTACCACCCCCCAAAAGCAGTTACTTTCTTTTTTTCTTTTTTTTTGTCTTTTTGAGACAGGGTCTCCCTGTAGCCCCAGCTGTCTTGGAACCCACTATGTAGACCAGGCTGGCCTTGAACTCACAGAGATCCACCTGCCTCTGCCTCCTGAGTGCTGGAATTAAAGGCGTATGCCACCATGCCCGGCACTATTTTTTTTTTTATTTAATTTTTATTTAATGTGTATGAGTGTTACGTCTGCATGTATGTAAGTGTACCCATGTCTTGCAGTGCCCACAGAAGTCAGAAAATGGCACCAGATCCCCTGGAACTGGAGTTACAGACTGTTGTTACTGCCTTGTGAATGCTGGGATTTGAACCTGTGTCTTCTGCAAGAACAGACAGTGCCCTTAACTGCTGAACTATCTCTCCAGCCCCAAGAGCAGTTATTGAGAGAAAAACTGTTGGCAACCTCAGCACAGCACAGACAGGATATTGTGTGTCCCAAGTTGACCTTAGCTTGCTATGTAGCCAAGAATGACCTTGAACTTCTGATCCTCCTGCCTCTACATTCCTAGTGCTGGGATCATAGGTCTGTGCTCCCACGCCTCCTTTACATGCTGTTGGGATGGAACCAGCCATCATGCAGACTAGGCAAGCAGTGTGCCAACAAACTTCATCCCCAGCTTTACATTCACACTATATTACCACATTTCCCTTTCTTTCGTGGACTCGTGAACACTTTGCGCACACTCTGTTTGAGAACTGCAGTTAGTCCTTGACTTGTAGGGATAGCTATGGTCAGTGTGGCCAAGTGAGATGCTGGCCCAGATTGAAGTGAAAAGTAGTAAAGTCTGTGAGTCAAGGCCAGCCTGGTCTACATAGTGAGTTACAGGATAGCTTGGGCTACAGGGCAACCCTGTCTCAAAAAGACCAAAAAAAAAAAAAAGACTTTGGTTTGTCAAAATTTAATTAGAAAAAGAACCACACAAGTGTTCAAGTCAACAGAACAGTGGGGATTCATAGGGGCAGAGAGAGTGAAGAAATAAAACTTGAGTTTTGAGGTTGTAAGACTGGGGCTCAGGTAGCATTCCTCATTAAGTTTCAAGGGTCTTTTTTTTTTTTTTTTTTGAGACAGGGTCTCCATGTAGCCCCAGCTGGCCTGGAACTCAGTATGTAGACCAGGCTGGCCTGGAACTCACAGAGATCCACCTGCCTCTGCCTCCTGAGTACTGGGAGTAAAGGCATGTGCCACCACGCCTGGTTTAAGTTTCAAGGATCTTAAGGACTCGCCAGCAGAGAGGAGCTTGTTCCTACATCATGGAAAGTGATTGTAGCTACCTTTATTGATGTAGGGCTCTGACTCCCAAGCATTGAATGTTTAAAAATAGCTGATGGTGGAGCTGGAGAGATGGCTCAGCAGTTAAGCTGCTGCTCCTCCAGAGGACTGAAGTTGGGCTCCCAGTACCCACATTGGGTGGCTCACAACTACCCATAACTACACCTAGGGGATCCGATGACCTCTTCTGGCCTTTGCTGGTCCCCCCTGAAAATGTGCAGACACAAGCACATACACAGGAGTAAATAATGAAACAAATATTTCCCAAAATAGCTGGTGGTTCTGGGAGTCGGGAGACCTGGATTGACAGTCCTATTGTTCTAAACTTGGCCAAGTTACACAACCTCTCAAGTCCTGGATGGCATTAGCTCCTTTGAAAAGATGGTATAAATGGCGGCTTATGCCTGTAATTCCAGAACTTGGGACGTTGAGCCATACATTTGAGGCTAGCCTGGACCACAGTGGGACCTTGTCTTGGAAAAAAAAAATAGTAAAGACTACTAAGCAGAATGCAGGTCTTGCCTGTCACAGTTGTTGCATGGTAGCACGGTTTAAGGAAAAACGATGTGACAGGATGATGAACCATCTGGCAGCTTTATCGCAGGGATTTACAGGTGTCTCCCCACTCGAGGTTGTTTACCTTCTCTGGCTTCAGTGCCTTGACTTTCCCACCTGTGTTCTTGTCCTCACTCTGAAGTCCCTCCATGCTCATTTCAGTATACATTAATTTGCTGCTTTCCTTTCTGCCCTTGACAGCATCTGTGGAACCCTTCATTCCGTGGACCAGGTGAGGCATAGTACGGGTTCGTAATTGATTCTAGGGAACGACGGGAAGAGGGTACAGGTGGATGTTTGTGTCTCATCTCTAGGGTTCATGGTGGTCTTCATCTTTCCTTAGTACCTCAATATCAAACTAACTGACATCAGTGTCACAGACCCTGAGAAGTACCCTCACATGGTGAGTTGGGGCTGGTGGAGGGAAGCACCTGTAAAGAGACCCTGGATGGTTAGAGGACATTTTTAGCAGTGGTGTTTGGCGCTTGTCTATCTCCAGTTATCAGTGAAGAACTGCTTCATCCGGGGCTCCGTGGTCCGCTATGTGCAGCTGCCAGCAGACGAAGTGGACACACAGCTACTGCAAGACGCGGCCCGGAAGGAAGCCCTGCAGCAGAAACAGTGATGGCGTTTCTTCCCTGCCCCTTACCGTTGGTGTGTCCTGGCTAAGGACTCCCTTGCCCAATACTTGTGTTTCGTTGTTGATAGTGGCGGCTTGTTTTCTTTCGATTGAAGGGCTGAGAGGAATAGAGGGAAGCCGCTGTCCTTTGTTGAGAAGGGGAGGGTCAGAACCGGGAACTGCCCAAGCGCCTGCCCTTCTCACCCGTTCCCTGGAGACTGCGGGAGTTTCTAGGTCCTTTCTGGACAGCTGTGATACGTTTGGGGGATGGAAAGAATCTGTCCCGCATCGGGAATAAACTTTATGATGCAAATTTGAGTTCTGGTGTTGTCCGTGTTTGGGGCAGGGACGTGGGAAAGGATGTTCACTCGTGTGCACACCAGTTTGTGTTCCCCGCTAAGGCCAAGAGTCCAGCCCGAACTTCCCAGCAGTAGCTGCTTCTGGCATTTACCCGGGGCCAGTAAAATGGCTCAAGAGGTTAAAGTGCTTGCGGCCAAGCTCAGGACCAGAATCCCATCTCCAGTCCCTCCTTTCAAGAGACTGGTGTGACGTCAGAGTGCGCTCGGCCCTATTCCTGGGGCTGGAGCCCGGACTTCCATGTGCTGATGCTTTTCCTACTGCCGGATTCTCCACGGCCACTGCACCGCGGGTAGAATACAACGAGAGACGTAAGCTGTAGGCTGGGACCTACCAAACTTTACTCCCTGCAGCAACTGAGCTCCCAGTACCCAGGGGAAATGCCTGGCACAGGGACACCCCCCCACCCCCGACACCCTCCCTCACTCCCAGGCAGCGCGCATTTGGGACTGCCCGTCTGCGTGCTGGGCGCCGCCTGGGCTACGACTCGAAGACCCCGGGGTGTCCGCGGCGCTGCCTGACCCGGGCGCGGGCTGGAACCCGGAACCCCCCCCGCCCCCCCCCCCCCCCGAGCGTCCGCGTTCGGCTCGCAGCTCCCCAGTCGCTGTACTGCCGCTCCGCTCGAGCTCGGGGGCGGGCCTTGCGGTTCCGCACAGGCGGGGCCCGGCCGGACTCGCGGTTTTGCGCAGGTGCAAACCGGCCCTGGCCGCCCCGCGAGGACCCTGGCCGGAAACGCGCGCTGTCATAAAGGGACCACGTGGCTGACGCAGCCCTCGGGGTCCGAAAGAACCTCCTGTGTTGCTCCAACCCGGCGGCCCGCGCGTCCCCGCTGCCCCCGGTGGTGCGCGCGGCTGCTCGGCCGTCCTCGGTGACCGCCGCTATGTCCATTCTCTACGTTTCCCCGCACCCCGACGCCTTCCCCAGCCTCCGCGTCCTCATCGCCGCCCGCTACGGGGAGGCCGGGGCCGGGCCGGCCTGGGGAGGCGCACACCCGCGCATCTGCCTGCAGCCGCCCCCCAGCAGCCGCGCTCCCTCCCCGCCGCTTCGCCTGCCCGCCCTGGAGCAGGGGCCTGGGGGGCTGTGGGTCTGGGGGGCCCCGGCTGTGGCGCAGCTGCTGTGGCCTGCAGGCCTGGGGGGCCCCGGGGGTAGCCGGGCGGCCGTCCTGGTGCAGCAGTGGGTTAGCTATGCCGACACTGAGCTCGTGCCAGCAGCTTGTGGGGCGACGCTGCCGGCCCTGGGGCTTCGGAGCCCGGGGCAGGATCCCCAGGTGAGAGAGACGAGGATCCGAAGGTTCATGGGGAAGGACAGCCTGCCCGTGCAGGAAAGGTGGTCGCGCTTCTGTGGGCACCTGGAGGGGTAGCCGGGCATATTGTGAATTCTTGAACCTTGGTGTCCCTGTATCCGTTAAGATGCAAGGTGATTTCATGACGTTAACATGTGTGTATGTAGACCACAAGGATGAGGAACAGGGTTATTTTGCTTTGTGGTTGCTTTTTAAAAACAGGGTTTCTACTCAGCTAGCTTGGAACTCACGGTGTAGCCCAGGCTAGCCTTGAACTCTCTCAGACCACAAGGATGAGGAACAGGGTTGTTTTGCTTTGTGGTTGCTTTTTAAAAACAGGGTTTCTAACTCAGCTAGCTTGGAACTCACGGTGTAGCCCAGGCTAGCCTTGAACTCTCTCACCTTAGTTTTTAAGGTGCTGGGAGAATTACAATTATGGGCCACTATACCTGGTGTACCAGACATTTTAAAGTTTCTGAGTAAAAGTTTGATGACTCTGAAAGCGAGGTGTTACTTCTAACTGTAGGGGAAACTGAGGGAGAAATGAAAGCTGCTGGGTGGAGAGGAAGGAAAGTGGGAGAGGGGAGAACTCAGAGGTTGTCGGTCCCTCCAGAGTAAGGCTGTGCCTTCTGCCTTCCTGTAGGGTAGTGTGTACACGCTGGACACCTAGTGCTCCTCAGTGAATGAGTAAATGGATATGTAACATAGACCCTGGCTTACTCTTTCACGTCACTAACTTTCCTGGGAATCCCCGTTCCCCTCACGCTCTTTTCTCCATACGTGTTACGAACCACATAGAGTAGGGCATTACATGTTTGTTCACGTACTGTTTTCTCAGAATGTTGATTCCCGGGACCTGGCTGTGACTGTGTGGATGCATAGAATTCTTAACTTCTGTGCTGAATATAGTTCATCTGACATGTAGCACAATAAATGTTTCATAGGATGAATCAGAGTGTGTCTAGATCAACCCTGGGGCCTCCTGCATGCTAAGCAGTCTCCCAGTCAGAAATGATTTTGTTGAGACAGGGTCTCACTACGTAGCCCTGGCTGGCCTGGAGTTTGCTATGTAGACCAGGCTGGCCTTGGATTCATAGAGATCCTCCTGCCTCTGCTGGGATTAAAGGCGTGCATCGCCCCGGTGACAGAAGTGATTTTATTAGGACCACGTGAATGGAAAAGGAATTAGCCTCAGAGCTGATGATTGCAGGGGTAGTGAGGCCAAATGGGTTGGAGTTAGGGTTCCCAGTGAGATGGATGCTTACAACCTTGTCTGATGCCCCTTCCGCTTCCTGTCAGGCTGCCCTGGGGGCCCTGGGCAAGGCCCTGAGCCCCTTGGAGGAGTGGCTTCGGCTGCACACCTACCTGGCTGGGGACGCTCCCACTCTAGCTGACCTGGCTGCTGTAACCGCCTTGCTTCTGCCCTTCCGATATGTGAGTCTCTGGCCCTGGGGAGGAGCAGATGCCCTTCCGCCAGACTCCTTACAGGGTGACTGAGAGTTCTTCCTTTCTCCTCTCAGGTCCTGGACCCCTCTGCCCGCTGCATCTGGGGTAATGTGACTCGCTGGTTTAATACCTGTGTCCGGCAACCAGAATTTCAGGCTGTGCTGGGAGAAGTGGTCCTGTACTCGGGGCCCAGGTCTCTCCCTCAGCAGCCAGGTGAGGAGGAGTGGGGGAGGAGGGAGACAGGCTCCTCTGGGGCCTTGCGTGTAACTCATTTTCTTGGTTCTAGAGTGGCTAAACCACTGGGGCAGGGCCTGTGGAAGGGTCAAGTGGGAGCTTGGACCTGAGCCCTTGCGCAATAGAAGTAGCCCTTTCTGACTTACCAGCAGCCTCAGTCTGCATTTCTGTGCATCTTTAGGCTCTGGGGGCACTGCTCCCCCAAAGACAGCTGCTCAGCTCAAGAAAGAAGCAAAGAAACGGGAGAAGCTAGAGAAATTCCAGCAGAAGCAGAAGATACAGCAGCAGCAGCCCCCTGCTAGGGAGGTGGGAGCCGGTGGGGGGAGGGGGAGTGGCAGGGGGAGGTAGGCGCTGAGGGAGAGGTGGGAGCTGGGAGAGGTAGGTGCTGAGGGAGAGGTGGGAGCTAGGGGAGGTAGGTGCTGAGGGAGAGGTGGGAGCTAGGGGAGGTAGGCGCTGAGGGGGAGCTGGGAGCTGGGGGAGGTAGGTGCTGAGGGGGAGCTGGGAGGTGGGAGCTGGGGGAGGTAGGCGCTGAGGGAGAGGTGGGAGCTGGGGGAGGTAGGCGCTGGGGAGGAGCTGGGAGGTGGGAGTAAGGTGATATCTTGTTGGGGGCTGTATCCTCTCTGAGCAGAAGAAGCCCAAACCAGAGAAGGAGAAGCGAGACCTTGGGGTCATTACCTATGACCTGACTACCCCGCCTGGCGAGAAGAAAGGTACTGTGGGAGGGGTGCCCCTCCAGTTGCTCCTTCTCAAGCTGCTCCTTCCCGTCGTGCCCTGCTCTGGGAGGGTTTGCAGAGCGACTGTAACCCTGTCCTGGGATGGCAACATCAGAGGTCTGTCCTGGGCTGGCCCCTCCTTCTCCAGCTGCACTGAGCCCTCTTCTTTCTGCAGACATAAGTGGCACCATGCCTGACTCCTACAGCCCTCAGTACGTAGAGGCTGCCTGGTACCCTTGGTGGGAGCATCAGGGCTTCTTCAAGCCGGAGTATGGGGTGAGTGGTCACTGTTGCCCAGGCCACTGGGGACTGGAGGTGGGGAAGGACCGGACTGAAGGACTCATTGCCTGGGAAGGGGCCACATGAGGTGGCATGAGGTCTTAGCGTATGCTCATCCTTCTCCACCATCAGCGTCCTAGTGTGTCAGCACCAAATCCCCGAGGTGTCTTCATGATGTGCATCCCACCCCCCAACGTGACGGGCTCCCTGCACCTGGGCCACGCACTCACCAACGCCATTCAGGACTCCCTGACTCGATGGTGAGCTCCTGTCCATCTCCAGCTGGTGTCCTCTGCCCTGCTTGGCTCCTTTCTCTCCACTGTGAGCTCAGGCTCTGCCATGTTGGCCTTGCTTAGCCCCTAAGTGAGGCTGTGCTGCTCCTGCTTGCTCCCATCTGAGCGGTCAGTGTCCTCTCCCAATCGTGATCCCATTGTGCACCTTCCTTCCACAGGCTCCCTCCTCTAGTCCTTTTTTATTTTTCTTTTTCGGTCTTTTTGAGACAGGGTCTCCCTATAGCCCCAGCTGGCCTGGAACTCACTATGTAGACCAGGTTGGCCTTGAACTCACAGAGATCCGCCTGCCTCTGCCTCCTGAGTGCTAGGATTAAAGGCATGCGCCACCACGCCCCGCCAACAATTTTTTTTTTAATTTTTATTTATTTAAATCAGCGTGTATGAGTATTTTCCCTGCACAGCAGTGCACCTGTGTGTGCAATGCCCACAGAGGCCAGAAGAGGGCATTGGAGCCCCTGGAACTGGAGTTACTAACAGTTGTCAGCCATCGTGTGGGTGTTGGGAACCAGACCCAGGTCCTCTGCAAGAGCAGCCAGTGCTCTTAACTGCTGAGCATCTCTCCAGCTCCTAATTTATTATTGCTAGTAGTGGCAAAGATTAAACCCAGGACCTTGTGCATGCTAAGCACACAGTTTACCATTGACCTGTACTGTTGGTCCACTACTTTGAGTTTAACAAAGAAACACATGAAGGTGCTCCTTGAACCTTGGGTCT